TTATATTGATAAATATAATCATAAATGCGGGAAGTTTCATAAAGCTTGAAAGTAAAAAATAGTTCTTTTTTATATTTTTTTTGGTATGTGGTGTCTTGTTCTTGTTTGTTTTGTATTAACACATACCGTTTTTTTTATTAAATAAATTAACTCGATTACATTTGTTCAGTTTTATACAGTTTTTTTCACAATATTTTGAAGTAATCACTCGTCAGTCAAATTTTAAATATATTAATTTCCTGCTATGCGTTCCAGTTGTACCAACTTATTTCTTTGTAAAATAAAATAAACTACTTTGAAAATAAAATGACAGACACATCTATCACTGTCACGGATCTTCTCGTTGGACAGACTATAGCTAATGTAATGGATACATATAAAGTAGGTACAAAATCACTACAAAATCGGTTAAATTTTATAAAAAAAACATATTTTTGTGTTTGTAGTTGTTCTGAAAATTAACCGTGTGGTTTTAGTCTTATCTGTATCTACAATAAATTAATAAATCGATAATAATAAGAAAATAGCCTAATTGGTAATACAAGAAAATTACTATTAACATTTAAAAAAAGGTTAAATTTAAGGTTGTCTTAACTTGAGGGTAATTATATTGATTTAAGTCATTTTATTGACTTAACTTGTAGATCATGATGATTTAAGTCAAAAAATATATACTTAAGTCATAAAAACGACTAAAAATAACGACGTTATATTGATTTAAGTGGCTTTAGTCTCATCTGTATCTTAGTAAGAAAATCCTAATTGGGTAATACAAGAAAATTAATATTAACATTTAAAACAGGTACTTAAATTGAATTCTGGTTGTCTTGACTTGAGGGTAATTATATTAATTTTACCAAACAAACTTGCTTTAGAGATCATCATGATTTAAGTCAAAAACATATAATTAAGTCACAAAAACGATATAAAATGACTTGACTTGAAATAAAATAACTTAAGTCAAAGACTTAAATCATTTTGATTGTAGAAATGACTTAAGACTTAAGTCTTTTAAGACTGACTTGTTGCAGCTTTGATTTACATTATCTAAGTTTCAAGTTTCAGTAATTTATTTTCCCACAAATTTCAAAATAAATTGTACCTATTACTGCGTAAAATCAAGTGTCTGTGCCTGTCAAACCATTGTTTACTCGCTGCTACCAAAATGTCTGAACGTGGATTTGAGTAAGGTATCCAGTTTATACTACGGTTGATTTGATCGAATCTTTGAATAAGAAGACTAAGGAAGGAGCATATCAAAATCTTAGGTACACCGCGATGGGCTCAAATATGGCCGACTTAAATTCCGGTTTATCAGTGTCGTTCTAATTTTATTTTAAAAAGTAAAACTATGAGGTAGGGTAGACGTGGGGTAGACTCAATAATTTGTTGTTTTATTTTACGTTGTGAATAAATGTTGGTAGTTATTAAAATTGTTATAAAAATATATAATTCTAATAAAAATAGATAAGTTATAATAAGTATTTATTAACACAAACATCCGATACGCTACTGAAGCAGGCAAGTCAAATTAACGTATCTAAATTCTTTGACATCTAATCTTTGACAAGTAATAAATAAAAAGCTAAAATGCAAGAAAAAATATATAATTTAGTTAATTTAATTGAATTTCATAAATGATCGGTTTTACTTCACGTATGTATATTATACTGAGTCACTTACTAGCGAAAAGTTGTTCCATTATTATTTCACTCAATTTTTGCCGAGATCTACCGCACGCTACACAACCAACTATTTTAGAGTCTTTTTGGATAAATCGCGATAGTGTCACTGTTAATTTAAGTTCTGCCACAATTTCCATCTAGATTTACTACCTTTATACAACTATCAGTAGTAGAATAAATAATAAATAACATAAAATAAGCTCCGTAAAGACTGACAAATCCACAAAATTTCAAATCAAATTCAAATGTGTCAAATGAATCGTCAAACAGAACTGTCAAGGATCCCCACCCTAGAGAGCTTTTATGGTGGCTCAGTGCCTTCTATTAAAAGATCAGCCTACGGGCGGACTTTTGTTTACTTCATCAGCTGTACATACTTAGATATTGGGTTAGATTCCGTTTCATATTTTGTCGGTTGATTTTTGGTTTTAACTCTTTGATTTTTGGTATTATTTATTATTGTAGTGCAAAAAACTAATTATTTTGGTGTTGAAGTGACATAAACTACTACCAGATATATGGTCACTCTCGGTTTCGCATAAAAAAATAGAAATTTTAAAAATTACACGTTGTGCAAGTGATTTAACCTAAAAGTGCCCATACATTTTTTACTTATCGTGATTTTTGTGTGTGTTTTTTAAGACTCTAACAATTCATCAATAAAGCTTAAGTGGAGTGTGTTATTGGTGCTATGCCTCATCTTTGTTGTGTTCCTGGTGGAAAGGATAGTTACTAAGGATAGTTATTATACTAGGCAGCCTAAAGTGTCCGGAAGAGCAAGAAAAGTGGGTACGAGTTATAAATCAAGAGAATTTTATTGAAAATATCTTTAATAAATTTAAAAATAATATTCTCCCATGATGGTATTAATAATGAAAACTGGACAATTATGTTTATTTTATTCATATTGTGGAATCTCCACTCCAAGTGTTGCTGGTTCAGCTTCGATAGATTCAAACACGTAAGTAGGTATTATGATCTAAAGGAGAAAAATAAAGAATATGTGTATTAAAGATCATGAAAAAGATTATTATTTTGAGTTCAAATTTTAAAAAAGATTTTTGTAAAGACAAGACTGATACAGTTTAAAAGAAGAATGTGTTTTTGTTTGATAATATATAATGTATGTATTATTTATAATACCAAATTAATATCAAATATTTAAGTGATGGCTGAATACAATATGAATAAAATAACAATAAAATTGGTATATTTGCATAATACAAAATTAAGTTTTAAGAATAAAGGTGTTACTAAAAATACTAAGAAATTCATATTTATTTGTTTTAATTGGTCTAATGTTATTTACATTTTATGTAAGAATTATACCGTATCATCGAAAAAAATCGGCGTCTAGTTGGCTTGGAAATGAACATCGATGACATGCCCTAAATAACTGTACACATAAAATAATTAACTAGAATTTTACAATCTTGGAAAATTTGATATTCTTGAATCTTGTTTCTAAATATACTAAATTTTTTGATTTTCTTGGGATTTAGGTTCGGGAAAAACGCTGATTAAGTTTTCATTTGGTTTTTCATTATTTTTATTTGGTTTAAAAAAAAAACGGTTCGGCTAACATTATAGCCTTCATCAGTGTTGTGTCATATGAAAAAAATAGTGTCGAATATAATCCAAAAAATTACATATAAAATATTCATACCACGCACATAATGTTTACTGCGTACTGCGTACTCCATAGTCAATGTAGATAATTTTAGTGTTAAGAATAATAATTTTAAAAAATATGTGGTCATGTTTTGATTAGTTTATATTAGTTTATTAATTGCAGTAAATATTATGAGGTGTGAATTATATTGTATATGTAATTTTTTGGATTATATTCGACACTATTTTTCTCATATGACACAACACTGATGAAGGCTATAGTTAGCCGAAACGTTTTTTTAAACCAAATAAAAATAATGAAAACCCAAATGAAAACTTAAATCAGCGTTTTTCCCGAACCTAAAAATCCCAAGAAAATCAAAAATTTTAGAATAATTTTACATATAAAATGCCAGCGATCTTCATTTCATAGCCATCGCTGACGCCTTTTTTAGATAATATTGTATTATTTGTAAATATAATTTTTCGAAGATTGATACTTGCAAGATATACATATAAATTTTGTGAATGCAAATAATAATACATCACTATTATTAGATATTGAATGTTTTTTGTTAAATTAGATCGATTTTCAAACCCCAAAATTTAAAATATATTTACATTTTACCCATTATGTTATGTACCTATACACTATTTGTACATCGTAAAACATTTGCTGCATTTGTATGGTTCATAGTTTATTTGCCAAAGTATTTATTACTATAAATAGGTATATATGTTGTAGTTATTAACTGTATATTATGTATATTTCATTTAAACTATATCATTTTTAAAATACAAACCAAAAATCTGAGGAATAATTAGGTTTTCCATGTATTCTACAACATATTTATTAATCCGTTATATCTAACTAGCGTGACGTCATAAATCTCGCCCCCAGGCTGATCTTTTAATAGAAGGCACTGGGTGGCTTTTCCGCCCACCATGCATGAATACATGGATAGCATTATGCTCCTTCCTTAGTCTTCTTATTCAAAGGATCGAATACATATAATGCGGATAATCAAAACAAAGTCAAGCGTGTTTTTCAATACAGCTACATCTTTATCAGCGTAACATTCTGTAGATTATCGACATTGAGTACATAAAGTAATGTCACAACACCTTATCGCAACAAAATAATAAAACAGATAAGGTATATGCTTTTGTGTAATAAATTGTATAAATGATTCTACATACAACCTTTGTAATTAATTTTAATATAGTTTTCTTTTTAAAATATATCATTATTATCATCATTTTCAGCTTATTCAACCATTTCCAATTATTGTGTAGCCTCTTTCACATATTTAGATACTCTCTTTGTAGTTGGGCCCATTGTTGTCTATTGTTGGCTACACTTGGGCTCAAGTTGGCATCCCCTAACTAACTTCCTAATATCATGGTCCCATCTCAAGTTTGTTCTTCCTCTAGGTCTCTTTATTCCTCGTGGGTTCCATGCTGTAATTTTTGTGGTCCCTGTGTTGTCTGTCCTCCTCGCCAGGTGTCCTGCCCATTGCCACTTGAGGGATTTGATTCTGTGGATGACATCTATTACCTGGGTCTTTTGTCGTATCCACTCTATTCTTTTACGGTCTTTCCTCGTTATTCCCAGCATATTTCGTTCCATTGGAGATTTGTGTGTGACCCTGCAGTTTCCTTATGATGTCCGTTTTAAGTGTCCAGGTTTCGCATGCATAGGTCATGACTGGCAGGGCCGTCCTGAGGGGTGGAGCAGAGGAGCAGTGGCTCCAGGCGGCAGTTTCGGTACAATTGTACTGAATTCGGTACATCTTGACCAAATGCGGTACGTCAGTACTACATTTTGGAAAAATGGTCATTTTCGGTACGAAATTTCCAACAGTATAAATGCAACTAGTAAACTGCTTCAGAATGAGAAACTCGACATCATTGAGTCCAGAAAAGCTCTAAAAGCTATCGACGACTATTTTGTCAAAATAAGGACTGACGACGACCATTTTAGAGAAATATTAGTGGATGCTGCAGAGCTGGCAGAAGAGCTGGAAATTGAAGCAGTTTTTACCATAAAATAATTAACTAGAAAGAAGTGTCAACTCTGTGTTAAATCGTGGAAACACGATACGCCACCGAAAGCCTTCGTTGTCGTCTGGAGAACTAATTTTCAATTGACAGGTTGACATGATGGTTTCATTTTTATTTCCGTTTCCGGTTATTCAATGGCGGGCACCTCTTTCAGTTTAAATGTATTTTGTACTCTTTCTTATCATAAATAAAACAAAATAAAAATTTATTTAAACATATTTATTTGAAATGTGAGACAACGTGACTAAATAAATATAAAAAATAAAAAATTGAATGATTTCTATATCAATTACTTAATTATATGCAGTTTTAACGTAAATTAGTAAGGTATCAGCATGACTTACAGTAATTTTGTAAATAAATACACGTATTCACAGCCTTCAGAAACAGAAAGCGGGGGCAGAACATGAGAACAGAGCCTTATACCATAACAAACCAAACCTGAAAACAGAAAAACACATTTTTTATACTAAAATTAACAATGTAAAAATATCAATATAGGTATAAAATATAAATATACTAATTAAAAAAGCGCCATTATTCCCAAAGAGACCTGGTTTATGAATCCAAAAGAAGTAAAAAGAGACTTTTAATCGGATAACAATGAGATTGTATCAGACAGATTTATTGTGTATTATCGACAATAAATCGCACATACTGGAGATAACTAATATTGGCTATAGTTAAAAATGATCTTACCTTGCTGTAAATTGATTCCATTTTCAATAAAATCGCCGATCATAAACATATAACAAAATTTTCTTGCATCTAAAAAACATGGAAATAGTGTTTATTTACTACCTATTTTTAATATACATGGGACATACCTAGTACTGCAGAAACGTCTTTTTCTCCAGGATTTTTCATGTAATATATATTTTATATGCTTTATTACCTTTATATTTATAAATTTCAGGCGAAATATCAAATTACAAAACAAAACTAAACGAGAGAATTAAATGGCGTCCGAAATTTGTTCGATTTGTTCTAGAACAAATCTGTCAATTCTAAACTGTGAAGTTAGACAATAGTTAGACAGAAACATTGTTGTCCTTGTCTAGGCGGCCATACTTGTCGTCAGGAGATGACAGGAATGACACTAATGACTGTTTCCAATTTTCCTATTTCACTGTCACCCCCCTGGTTTTTACTAATGACTTTAGAGCTCGCCCCAGAATAAAAAAAAACTAGACAGTTTTTGTATGAATCAGTGGATGAGCCAATTTTTGGATCCACAGAAAAAGTTTAAAATCGATTTTTTTTTGTTGTCCTGGATACAATCCATGAGGCTCTCCAGGAAAGGTTTGACCAGTTAAAAGCTCACTCGGACTATTTTTCGTTTTTATACGACTTCACAGTTCTTAGGAATATCAACAAGAGGAAATAACAAAGCATTGTAGGGATCTTCATCTCTATTTAACGGACGGAGACAAACATATAATATTAATGGCCTAGAGCTTCGGAACGAGATATTAGCTCTAATTGCTCTAATACCACCAGATAATGTCGAAAACTTCAGTTGTCCAAAACAAAACACTAAAATATTTAAAAATTCACGATCTGATTGGAAACGTTCCAAATATTTTACATCTCCATAAGAATCTTATTAACGCTGCCTGTTTCAGTGGCAACCGGAGAGAGAAGTTTTCTAAACTCAAAATAATTGAGAATTACCTGAGATCAAGTATGACACAGGAATGTACCTTATAATGTTTTTTGTTATTCTTTACATTATTTTTGTGTCTGTCAATTATATTGCCAAAATTTTGGCAGTTTGAGGTACAACATTTTTCAATCAACTATTCGACTTCATCAATTCGTTTGACTAAATTGTGTTTTTGTAAGAAAACAAATATTTTCTTAGAAAATGTTTCGACATAAATCCATCTTACGCAAGACTAATAAAGATATAAGCAGTAACATAATTATTGTACGTAATATGGTGCTCGTGCAACTAATGGTTTTGATAAAAGCATACTTTCCTAACAATTATCGTTAATCTTAACATTAAGAATATATGCAATAAAAAGAATGATTTGAGAAATAAAACGTGTTCCTATGTTGGGTTTTATTACAAGTTCAATGCCCAAGTTCAATGGAACGAGCGCTATTAAAAAGTAGTAATTTGCTTCAAGTAAAAAATACCATGATTAATCTGCAAAAACCGTTTTCTCAGTGAGATTCTTCAATCCAATTTATACATTAGAAGTTTTTCCTGCGGTTTTATCGATTATAACATTACAATACAATACAAATCATGTTTTTTAGGATTCCGCACCTCAAAAAAAACGGAACCTTTAAGGTTGATTCTCACTATACCTTCCGTATCAGCTACCTTCGGTTTACATAAAATATTATATCATGTAAATGAATAGGACAATGAACACTTTCCGTTCCGTTTCCCTTCCGTTCCATATCCTTTCCTTCAATACATTTTTTTTGGCGGACGGACTTAAGCGTATCGGAAACAGCGTTGTTAAGTTCTTACATTTCTACCAGCTCTGTTAACATTTTGCTGATGTTTATTTATTTGTTACCTTTTAATTAAATCTATTATACCTTTTTCAAAAGATACAAATTTTTAAAATAAAACTTTCGTAATGATATAAATTGTACAATAAAAAGTATGGAACTGATACGGAACGGAAGGTTACGTATAGCGTCAATACAATAAAGAAATACGGAACGGGTATGGAATGGATATGCAATGGAAACGGAAGGTATAGTGAGAATCAAATTTTAAGGAAAGAATAAATAAATACCAGCAAAATGTTAACAGAGCTGGACAAATGTAAGAACTTGACAACTCTGTTTCCGTTAAGGTACATTCAGGCTGAGAGCGTCGCGTCGCGTTTGCGTCGCGTCCGCGTGTCGAAATGGAATCAATTCACTTAACTTAAATTAGACCGTTCAGGCAGACAGCGTCGCGTTTGCCGTTGCGCTAGCGTCCGCTGAGCGTCGGGGTTCGAGTTCAATGGGGCGGACGCGACGCAAATGCGACGTAACTTTACGCTTCAGTCCGTCCGTCAAAAAAATGTATGAAAAGAAAGAATATGGAACGGAAGGGAAACGGAACGGATAGTGTGCATAGTCCTATTCATTTACATGATATAATATTTTATGTAAACGGAAGGGAAACGGAAGGTAGCTGATACGGAAGGTATAGTGAGAATCAACCTTTAAGGAAAGAATAAATACGGAACCTTCGGTATGGGCGGGTCCATTTATTTTAATATTGTGACTTAATATATTTCTTTTTAGTATGCCGATTATAATTAATCTGGACCGGACTATATAGATACAGTGGCTGGTTTTCATTTAAAATTAATTATCAAAGATAACTGATTACATGTTTTTGATACAAAATCCTAATATAACTTTGTAACGGATATAAAAACCGAAATAATGATATTTAGATAAGAAATTATTTTTAATTATTTCTATCTATATTTACTAACATACTTTAATAAATATATTTTTGATGATACAGTTTCGAGTAGGTATTAGTGTAGTTATTTCTGGTTTTTGATTTAAAACCACTAACAATTATTTTTAAAGAGATTTTAGACATCGTAAATAAAAAGATCTAATAATCTAACATAAACCAATAATAATTCTATTGATATATTAGGTTATTTTTCATTGCATGCTTTTGGTACTTATATATATTTACATAATTTTTTAATCAATTTGATCTAGAAAATCGCTGTAAATATTTTGTTATTGGTACGTTTTAACGGTTCAAAAAACGGCGTCAAAGACGGCTGGGAATGACAATCGCTGATAATTTTGGCGAGGTCAAGCCCTAGACATCATTTACTAGGACCGTACCCTTCTTGATTTTTTTATGGCGCTTACTGCCAGTTGCCATTAAGAAGGTTGTACTTTATTATTATAATGAGTAAATATTATTTTTAAATAATGTAGTTTAGTTTTTTTTCGAGAAAAAATATTCTTTTAAAAAAATCTTTAACAAATGCCGTCTTATTGTCATCGATTATCATTTCCCAGCCGTCTTTGACGCCGTTTTTTTTTCGATCATACGGTAAGAAAAAGATATGAACTTAATAGTTATTCCCTATATTTGACTACGGTCGAAAATACACGTATCAGAGTAGATTTAAATACTAAATTAAAATTTCAATACGGTTAATCAACAAAATAAATGAAAAAAAGTAAAGTTAATAACCGAACAAGATTTTTTTATTAATATCCGACTAGACTGTGGCCAAGGATACATCGGTGTCACGTATACCAAGAAACCCATTGTGTCTTTAACAAAAGCCACATATTTTACAATGATTTGTCTATAAATTGTTTCTAATAAAGGCACGTGTAGATAGACTGATTTCTGAGTCAGTGTCTTTCATTTAACTTCTGTAATGTTTTTTTTTAAATATGCGGGAATCAAGAGAGAGGGCCTTCTGTATACAAAAAGGCACCAATGCTTAGCCTTTGCCGATGATTTAGTTATCTTAGGTCGGAAGACTCTTGCCCGGAAGGTTGGAAGACAAGAGATCGGAAAAAGCTGATATCGGCTAGCGAAGGTATATTGAAGACGGTGTGGATCTGAAAGCGACAGTGTTGCCATATTAAAATCTGTAATATCTGTAATCTATCTATCTATTCAGCCTTCTTCGGTCCATCGTTGGACATAGGCCTCCCCCAATCTCTTCCACTCTTCTCTCTCTGTCGCCGTGCTCATCCAACTCGTGCCCGCATGTTTCCTCAGATCGTCCACCCATCTCATCTGAGATCTTCCTCTACTTCTTCTATTCTCCCAGAGCCTCCAGTTTATGATGCGATCATCGTATCATTGATTGTTCCATCGATCATCCTTCTGTCTGACACTGTGACCGGCAAATTTCCAATTCAATTTTGCTACTTCAGTTTTAACATCCCTTATTAGTTTTGTTTTACCTCTGATCCACTCTTTCCTTTTTCTATCTGCCAGCCTTTCATGTAGCATTTG